GTCAGTAACTACAATAATTAGAAGCTGTGGGTCACAGATCCCATAAGGAAGAAGCTATGTAACAAAGTATTTATTAATTTATTAACAGAGTATTATTTTTTTTATGTTTATATTATGATACTCTGTAAACTTCCCTCATTGCTTATCTTTTTTTATCATTCATAGTTTGTTCTTTGTCTTAAATACATTGCTGTGTCATCCTGAAGTTTTTCTTTCCTAATTTTCCACGTGGCAATATTGTAATTCCTATATATTGAAATGTAAAGTTAAAATTTTTAAATGGTGTTGTGGATCATTCTTTATCATTACTATTATTACGTGGGGGCCGGTGGAAGGCTGGTTAAACCGTTTGATTTTCGACCACTAGGACCCGGGTTCGATTCCCGCATTGGACACTTTTTTCTGTTTAAAAAAAAAATGCTCCAATGGCCCCCGATTCTTGCAAAAGTCCAACCCCACCAGCGAGTGCAAGTAACCAAACGGGGCTCTGGCATTTGTAAGTGCAAAGTCGAACTGCTTTTCACATGTGTAGACATGTGGTGCGCTTACAGTAAAAAGCAGTCGCTAACTACCCACCATGATTATCATGGCCTGTACCACGTGTACTAGGGATAAGCAAAAAAAAAAAAAACTATTATTACTAGTAAAGTTTTTTACAAGGTTGATGTGCACAGTTCATCGTTATGATGCACAAATAAAGGGAGAGGTGCCTCTTTTGATACATGAATATCATCCTCCTGTAACCTTATATTGTAATCTAGGCTGAAAATCGGCCCTTACCACTTCATCAGCTTAAACAGCTGTTTGGCAAATTCGACCGATTTCATAACTTTCGTAGCTTATTATGCAATCAAAGCCGCCACTGTACTGATGAGAGCCAAAGCCCGAAACTATGTCATACTCATGCCCACTGGTGTCAAACCTAAGACAGCAGAACAAGATGGAAAGAACCTATCTGGGTCAAATATTTATTATAAATTATGAAAAATAGTAAAGTATTATTTAATTAATTATATATATAAATATTTACACTAAAAGAATCGGGGATAAGGGCAAATATTCCCGTTCGAAAGTTGTTTACAGGTTCTTCTCTTATTGTTTTTCTCATTTCAGCCGCTGCATCTCCGTAGCCCCATCCGTCGGCCTCCCATTGACTGCTCCGAACTCCTTCTTTTCCAACATTTCTCCCACCTTTGAGTTGGCGCCTCGTTCATCTCAAACATGGAAATGAAAATGAAAGGATTTAAATCGGTTGGGTCTCTTGATGGGCCGTCTGTAACTTGACACAACATTCGGGGTTTCAATGTGATGTTGCTCTTGTTGTGAAATCAAAGGGTCCTCTTCAGTTGTCAATCGAACTTCTTGTAGTTTATAACAGGGAAAGATATACGAAATTTGATAGGTTCTGTAGACTTTTTATTATAAATAGACAGCTTCATGCAGCTTGAGGAACTACACTACTATGCGACTTGATTTATATCAATGTAAATAATTAGTTAATTTAGAATATAACTCATTGTAAATAGCTCAACTTGATCAACTTTCTCTCTCCACGATACTAATTATTACAGATAGCTTCATCAACTTCCATCATTGCTTAACATATTGTAAATAACTACCTTGCGATTTCTTCTATCTGCATATGTTGTTGCTTATTTTTTAATGTATATGTTTATTTATTGTTATTTTTCTTAATTGTTTATTTTCTTTTTGATAATTCTGTTACCTACTCTACTACAATTATTGTAAATAGTTTCACGCGCAATTATCCATATCGGATATAGCGTGTCTTAACTGGTAATAAATAAATAAAATGTCATTGACAAACAACAACAACAAAAGCCTTTATTGAGGACCTCTCGTCCTATAAAGGATTCGCCAGTTTACAGAGTAATTGAAGAGAAGAGAACTAAGAATACAGAGAGAAACCTATAGGTAGTAGGTATAGTATAGTATTTTCTACACACACTGTGACTATATACAACAGCAACAACAAGCCTTTTACTGGAATCAAAGTCCCATACAGGATTCGTCATTCTAATCCTGACAAAGATTATTTACATATAATTATTTACATCAATTAGATTATGTATATAGCTTCCCCTTCTCTTCAGCCGTCTTCCAAAATTTGAACAACTCAAACGCTCCAGCTCTGTTTCTCACCACCTCATTCAACAGGAGCTCCAAAGAGAGTCCCTCAAGGCCTATTTCACTGAGGAGCACTTCTCGTTCGTCTTTCAGCCCCATACATGAGAGTATATGGTGATGTAGCCCCGGCTCCATTCTTGTCCCGCAAATCTCGCATGTAGAATCCCAAATATATAAATAAAGACTAATCACACAATAAAAGGTATGTTATTTTTGAAGTGCTTACACACCTTAGCACATATTTGTGAATACACTTTACAATTTATATATGTCATATTTCAGCAAATGATCCTGTCGAATTAAACGGGTCTACTGTTGTAACCCCGAGTAACCCGGCGTATGGATAAACTGGCAGTCGTGTACGTGAGGCGAGTGTTGATGTTCTTCCCACACGCGGACAACAAGAAGCAGAGGCAGGGCTGGATGTTAGCAACGAGAGTGATCGGGGACAGCCCACGGGACAGAGGTAGAGGCCATGACACAAACTTGGATGCCTATCACCGAGACATGGAGAGAGCGAGTGTTGATGATTTTCCCACACGTTGACAACAAGAAGCAGAGGCAGGGCCAGATGCTAGCACCGAGAGTGATCGGGGACAGCCCACGGGACAGAGTTAGAGGCCATGACACAAACTTGGATGCCTATCACCGAGACATGGAGAGAGCGAGTGTTGCGGTTCTTCCCACACGCGGACAACAAGAAGCAGAGGCAGGGTTGGATGACAAAAATAGGTTATTGACATCAAGTCAACAGCAAAAAGAGAGTTTACAGAGACAAAGGAGAAATATATACATCAGACGAGGCCTTCTTCAAAGGGATGTCCGGATCCTGCCAGGAGCTTAAAGCCTCCATAAGTTTATACAGGCCCAAGCCAGGTGCGCAGTTCATGTTCCCAACATGGTCAACAGGGCAATCAGGGCTAGATGATAGCACCGAGCGGATCGGAGACAGCCCACGGGACAGAGGTGGAAGCCATGACCTAAACCTGGATGCCTAACACCGAGACATGGAGAGAGAGCCAGAAGCGGCCTGCGTAGATGGACACATCATATCACACTCCGAGCTGAGACTGTTGTTTTGACCCCGGGAGGCAACACTCTCTCTAAAAAATTCATTAAAACACTTAATATATCTCGCATCTTTATATATTCTGGACTGAAATTCTGATTTGACACTCCACCATCTTGAAAACCTTTTTGATAAATTTGACCAACTCGTAGAATGCTATGAAAATTAAGTCACTTCTGTCCTATAGATGGTCATAATTGATAAATATGCATATATATACAATTCATCTTCTTATACGGTGTCAATTATTTCGCCAGTAGAAGGGCAAAATGCTTAAAAACTCGGCAAAACAATAAAACATTTTTTAAAAATTCTTTCGCCTCATGATTACGTGTTTTTTTATTATTTGTTCCAGACGAATATACAGTTAAACCTGTCTAAACCTTGGGACTCATCAAAATAGGGTGCTGTAGACAGGCCACTTTTAATGTACAGTTAAACCTGTCTATAGCGCCCCCTCTTGGGACTCACCATAATAAGGTACTATAGAGAGGGGGTGCTATAGACAGGTCACTTTTAATGTACAGTTAAACCTGTCTATGGCGCCCCCTCTTGGGACTCACCAAAATAGGGTGCTATAGAGAGGGGGTGCTATAGACAGGTCACTTTTAATGTACAGTTAAACCTGTCTATAGCGCCCCCTCTTGGGACTCACCAAAATAGGGTACTATAGAGAGGGGGTGCTATAGACAGGTCACTTTTAATGTACAGTTAAACCTGTCTATAGCGCCCCCTTCTTGGGACTCACCAAATAGGATACTATAGAGAGGGGGTGCTATAGACAGGTCACTTTTAATGTACAGTTAAACCTGTCTATGGCGCCCCCTCTTGGGACTCACCAAAATAGGGTGCTATAGAGAGGGGGTGCTATAGACAGGTCACTTTTAACGTACAGTTAAACCTGTCTATAGCGCCCCCTCTTGGGACTCACCAAAATAGTGTGCTATAGACAGGTCACTTTTAATGTACAGTTAAACCTGTCTATAGCGCCCCCTCTTGGGACTCACCAAAGTAGGGGGCTATAGACAGGTCACTTTTAATGTACAGTTAAACCAGTCTATGGTGCCCCCTCTTGGGACTCACCAAAATAGGGTGCTATAGAGAGGGGGTGCTATAGACAGGCCACTTTGAATGTACAGTTAAACCTGTCTATAGCGCCCCCTCTTGGGACTCACCAAAGTAGGGGGCTATAGACAGGTCACTTTTAATGTACAGTTAAACCTGTCTATGGTGCCCCCTCTTGGGACTCACCAAAATAGGGTGCTATAGAGAGGGGCTGCTATAGACAGGCCACTTTGAATGTACAGTTAAACCTGTCTATAGCGCCCCCTCTTGGGACTCACCAAAATAGGGTACTAAAGAGAGGGGGTGCTATAGACAGGTCACTTTTAATGTACAGTTAAACCTGTCTATAGCGCCCCCTTCTTGGGACTCACAAAAATAGGATACTATAGAGAGGGGGTGCTATAGACAGGTCACTTTTAATGTACAGTTAAACCTGTCTATGGCGCCCCCTCTTGGGACTCACCAAAGTAGGGGGCTATAGACAGGTCACTTTTAATGTACAGTTAAACCTGTCTATGGTGCCCCCTCTTGGGACTCACCAAAATAGGGTGCTATAGAGAGGGGGTGCTATAGACAGGCCACTTTGAATGTACAGTTAAACCTGTCTATAGCGCCCTCTTCTTGGGACTCACCAAATAGGATACTATAGAGAGGGGGTGCTATAGACAGGTCACTTTTAATGTACAGTTAAACCTGTCTATAGCGCCCCCTCCTGGGACTCACCAAACCGGGATCGAACCAGGGACCTTTAGATCTTCAGTCTAACGCTCCCCCAACTGAGCTATTAGCGCCCCCTTCTTGGGACTCACCAAAATAGGATACTATAGAGAGGGGGTGCTATAGACAGGTCACTTTTAATGTACAGTTAAACCTGTCTATGGCGCCCCCTCTTGGGACTCACCAAAGTAGGGTGCTATAGACAGGTCACTTTTAATGTACAGTTAAACCTGTCTATAGCGCCCCCTCTTGGGACTCACCAAACCGGGATCGAACCAGGGACCTTTAGATCTTCAGTCTAACGCTCTCCCAACTGAGCTATTAGCGCCCCCTTCTTGGGACTCACCAAAATAGGGTACTATAGAGAGGGGGTGCTATAGACAGGTCACTTTTAATGTACAGTTAAACCTGTCTATAGCGCCCCCTCTTGGGACTCACCAAAATAGTGTGCTATAGACAGGTCACTTTTAATGTACAGTTAAACCTGTCTATAGCGCCCCCTCTTGGGACTCACCAAAATAGTGTGCTATAGACAGGTCACTTTTAATGTACAGTTAAACCTGTCTATAGCGCCCCCTCTTGGGACTCACCAAAATTGGGTGCAATAGAGAAGGATTGCTAAAGACAGGTCACTTTTAATGTAAATCGCATCGTACTACGTATTTAAAATCGAGCGCTATAGAGAGGAAGGGGCTATAGAGAGGGGGTGCTATAGACAGGTCACTTTTAATGTACAGTTAAACCTGTCTTTAAACCAGGGACCTTTAGATCTTCAGTCTAACGCTCTCCCTACTGAGCTATTTCGGCTTATTTTAGTTATTTCTATAGAAGCTTCTATCTTTATAATTATGTATATTTTCAAAAAGTCAATTCACACCTCTTCGCTGGAGACCATGGGAATACTGACTAATTCATTATGCTAACATAATTATAAATGCAAGTATCAGAGTCATCAACAATTCTGTCATCGTTTGCTTTTGTGAATGGAATAAATACCCAAATAGGGCCATTTCTTATAAGCATCGGTGGTTCAGTGGTAGAATGCTCGCCTGCCACAGGTTCGATTCCCAGCCGATGCATTTTTTTTTTTTTTACAATTTTTACAACTCATTTATATTATTATCCCTATATATATAACATATAGTCACGACTGTCTTTCCTCATTCCTCATCGGCCGGCCGCCTCTGTCACGGATGCGCGCGCATCATCATTATGATCATTATCATTATCTAATGATAATTATTATTATTATCAACATATATAGTCACGACCGTCTTTCCTCATTGGCCGCCTCTGTCACGGATGCGCGCGCACAGGGAGGTCACGTGCTCGCCGGCAGCCAACGGGCGCGTGCTGCCGGCATTACGCCATAGATTATAAACACAAGGTAATAAGGCCAAATAAAAAAATAGTGTGTGATAAGGCACAATTTGGATTATAGATTATAAACACAAGGTAATAAGACCCAATCCAAATAAATAAATAGTGTGTGATAAGGCACAATTTGGATTATATTTAATACAGTTATCAGCGTCATGCACAATTCTGTCACGTTAAGTCACGTGTCAAGTTACGGTAAGTAGAAATTTAAAAATTAAAAAAAGATGCCGAAACCCGGGATCGAACCAGGGACCTTTAGATGTTCAGTTTAACGCTCTGCTAACTGAGCTATTTCGGCTTATTTTATTTATTTCTATAGAAGCTTCTATCTTTATATTTATATATATTTTCAAAAAGTCAATTCGCTCGCGCCTCTAGTGGTGAAAATGAGGGGTAATACCAGCTGACCTAATGTACATGTAAAGTTTGGAGCGGGACGTTTCACAAGAGTGACATCCACGGCTCCAATTTATAATTGTAACAAATATTATTTGAATAAAAACATTCAATCGGGTAAAACACGGGCGTTGCCCGGTTCATTCGGCTAGTATATATATATATATATATAAGTCAGCGTATGTATGTATGTATGTTTGTCAACTATACACGTCCACAATACGTAACTAATCTGACTGAAATTTTAACAGTATATAAAGTAGAATCTGGATAAACTCTTAGTGAAAATTTCAGGTCTCTATCCCGAATATCCATCGTGTTATTTGCAAATTTGCTCTTTCGCTCGCGTCTCTAGCGGTGAAAATGGGGGGTAATACCAGCTGACCTAATGTACATGTAAAGTTTGGAGCGAGACGTTTCACAAGAGTGACATCCACGGCTCCAATTTATAATTGTAAAGAAGAGTATTTGAATAAAAACATTTAATCGGGTAAAACCCGGGCGTTGCCAGGGTCATTCGGCTAGTACTTACATAAAAGAGGTCTATCAGAAACACCAAATTGTTCCTGCGGAGAAACTAAACAAACTTCACCTTATCTATGACTGTCCGAACTTTACAGAAATGAGATTGTTCCCTGATCTAAATGATTTAACTCTCTTACATCTTTGTCTATATAAATTTTATGTACTCTGTCGATTAATATATAAATGTGTAAATTTGTAAATATTTAATTCTAAGTTCTAATTTGTTTGTTGTTTTTATTGTTTTCTCTGTAATAGACGTAAATATCTCAATATCACGCATGGTTGATAAGAAAATAAAATAATAAAAAAAAAAAAATTGAAAATTTTCCCTTTAAGTTTTCATTTTCTATTTAACTCTTTTCTCTTTCCTCATCCAAAAGTATACAAAATACTAAGTAAACATTGCACATCGTCTGTCTTTTTATTTGCCAATTAAAAAGCATGTTCTAATTAATCTAAATTAATTGCTGTCCTCAGTGTCGCGATATGACAGTTAATTATGTCATTTATCATAATTACTCTAACCTTCATTTATTTTTTCACTGCCTTGAAAAAAATAACCATTGAAGAAAAAAACTCAATAAGGAAGTGGAAAGATACATTACCTCATTAATAGTTTAGGTCTATTCTTTACGGCCTAATATTATTGAAAATATTGTATTGTAGTTGATTTTTTTGCATAATTTTTAGATTGTATGAATCTACCCAAGCCATGTACACATAAATATACATAAGCTAAGTAGTGCTCCCAGCCTTAATGACAAAGGCAAAAGCATTTTACTTCACTACTGTATTACTCATCCATTGATGAGCTTTACTCTTCCCCGGCAGACACCATCAACAAGCTTTACAAGCTTGATACCTTAATATGATTGAGTGGAGATAAGAAAGAAGTAGAGACTCATCCCCAACACAGACACTATCAACAGGCTCTACAGACTTGATACCCTGATGTTGAGTGGAGATAAGAAAGAAGAAGAGACACATCCCCAGCACAGACACCATCAACAAGCTATACAGACTTGATACCCTGATGTTGAGTGAAGATAAGAAAGAAGAAGAGACACATCCCCAGCACAGACACCATCAACAAGCTCTACAGACTTGATACCCTGATATGATTGAGTGGAGATAAGAAAGAAGTAGAGACTCATCCCCAAAACAGACACTATCAACAGGCTCTACAGACTTGATACCCTGATGTTGAGTGGAGATAAGAAAGAAGAAGAGACACATCCCCAGCACAGACACCATCAACAAGCTCTACAGACTTGATACCCTGATATGATTGAGTGGAGATAAGAAAGAAGTAGAGACTCATCCCCAACACAGACACTATCAACAGGCTCTACAGACTTGATACCCTGATGTTGAGTGGAGATAAGAAAGAAGAAGAGACACATCCCCAGCACAGACACCATCAACAAGCTATACAGACTTGATACCCTGATGTTGAGTGAAGATAAGAAAGAAGAAGAGACACATCCCCAGCACAGACACCATCAACAAGCTCTACAGACTTGATACCCTGATATGATTGAGTGGAGATAAGAAAGAAGTAGAGACTCATCCCCAACACAGACACTATCAACAGGCTCTACAGACTTGATACCCTGATGTTGAGTGGAGATAAGAAAGAAGAAGAGACACATCCCCAGCACAGACACCATCAACAAGCTATACAGACTTGATACCCTGATGTTGAGTGAAGATAAGAAAGAAGAAGAGACACATCCCCAGCACAGACACCATCAACAAGCTCTACAGACTTGATACCCTGATATTGAGTGGAGATAAGAAAGAAGAAGAGATCATCCTCAGCACAGACACCATCAACAAGCTCTACAGACTTGATACCCTGATGTTGAGTGGAGATAAGATAGATGAAGAAGAGTTCATTCCCAGCACAGACACCATCAACAAGCTTGATACCTAAATTTTATCGAATGTCGATAAGAAAGAAAAAGGCATAAGGTTTTAATATGTCATATAGCTATATAAATGCGCGTATATACAATTTTAAGACAGAGAGAATAAATTTCGGTCGGGTTTGCTTCTCCTCGCGTCTATTTTCAACGCGACAACGTATATAGACAACTGTAGAAACATACATGTATATCAGCGCAAGTGTCCCTAGAGCAGATGTTGGAAACCTTTGAGTCTGAAAAGAGTCAAAAATTACAATTTACAAAATTTCAACGTTTTTAAAGAGCCACAATTTTTTTCTTGCCAACAATGAGTGTAGTACTTGTATAAAAAGAGTATGCATTGTTGCAAATTTGCGCCCTACATTTATTAAAAATATTCAATGATATTTAATATTTATTTAAAACAGATTATTTAGATTATCATCATTCCTTTTAATAGTTTCATTCCTTTTGTAATATTGTTATTGTACATATATCTTGATTGGTTATTGGAGAGAGAGAGGACCTAGACCAAGACTGCGGATCGCGACCTACGAGGAAGACAACGAATAAATAAACTTAATAACTTTAAACGGTAATTTATTTTTATTTAATTTTATTTATTTACTTTTATTTATTTGCTTTGAGTATGGAAACCCGCTCGATGTATAACACCAAGAAGGAAGAAACCAAGGTCGACGACCCTGCAAAGCTGCACCTTGGTGCAACAATATTTATTAGAGCAAGTGTCCCTAGAGCAGAAGTTGGCAACCTTTTGAGTTGGTAGAGTCAAAAATAACAATTTACAAAATTTCAATGTATTTAAAGAGCCACATAATTTGTTCTTTCCAACAATAAATAGTACTTGCATCAATAAATTTATATAAGTACTACACGCAGCTTCACATCCAAAGAGCCGCATGTGGCAGGTTGCTAACCCCTGTCCTAGAGAGAGACATGACGCTTTAAATTGGAATAAAAAAAAAACTCTATGACAAAATTTTTGATAACAACTTTGTAAGAAAATATAATAAATTAAAACGACAGGATAACGACTCAAAATACCAAAGAATATATTTTTGACAGAGGAATTATCTCTGCTTTTTCAAATTACTTTTCATCCAGATAAATCCCCACTATTGTAAAAAAAAAAATAAAAAAAAAAAAACAGAGATGGCTGGTGTCGTGTTTGGGATGTAATACGTACAGTACAACGTTCGATCGTGAATATAATGATTGTATTAATGATCTTAATTCACTGGCTTAACGGTCGCCGAGATGGTACATCGAGCTCAAGACAGAGATGGCTGGTGTCGTGTTTGGGATGTAATACGTACAGTACAACGTTCGATCGTGAATATAATGATTGTAATAATGATCTTAATTCACTGACTTAACGGTCACCGAGATGGTACATCGAGCTCAAGACAGAGATGGCTGGTGTCGTGTTTGGGATGTAATACGTACAGTACAACGTTCGATCGTGAATATAATGATTGTAATAATGATCTTAATTCACTGGCTTAACGGTCACCGAGATGGTACATCGAGCTCAAGACAGAGATGGCTGGTGTCATGTTTGGGATGTAATACGTA